CGCTTACGCTTCGCGTGCAGGGGTCCTAATAAATGTCATGCTACTAGGTGCATCCCAAAATTGTAGTGGTTTGGGTGGGGGTCTTTTTCTTTTGGGGGGGGGCATTGGTTGACCTGATGTATAGCACATCGTCAGAGCTAAATCAACATAAATACTAACACAGTATTCTTTTAGATCAAAAGCTATATCAATGTTGATTCAACATTGATTAGATGTTAGTATTTCAATCATTAGATTTCAACCATGACACAACATTGATATAATAATATTATTTCAACATTGGTTAATAGCTAAAATTGAATGATTGTTTGATGGTTGAATCAATCATCGACCTTAACCAAAAAGTCTGCATTTTGGACCATAATTAAACATTGAATCTTTTGCTATCTGGGCTCTTATCTATACCTAATAAACCAGTAAATAACTAACCACTTAAACTCAGTTCACACCTAAACTGAACCCTTGACCCAGTTTCAGACCAGACTTTGGTCCTACAAGGATTACAGATCCTGACAATACGAGGGATTTTACCAGAAAAACATACAAAAACAAAAAAATAAAAATAAAAATAAAAAAAACACACACACAGATGCTGACAAAGGTTTTATTCCTTTGTCTTCATCTTCAGCTGCAGTCGAGAGTGAAAGTAAATGGAAGCAAGTGTTATTTTTAAGTGTTCGATCTATTTTCATGTTAGTAGCTGAGAGTCATTTTCAGGGTTTGTTTTTTGTCTTCATACTCAGCCTGTCAGCTGATCTGTGATTTATTAGGTCTAAGGTGGGATTGTTTTTTCTCCTGCAGCTACATGGACCCCCAGCATCTTAAGAATGGAATCACACCATGTCCACTACATATACGAAAAGTAAAAGCAGGAGCACCAGAGACTGTACCAAGTGTTTGAACAGGAATGAGGAAATGGCTTATTTCCTGCAGCACACCTTCTTCAGCACTGCTGCAACGTTAGCCGTTGTTTCCTAATTAAAGACAAACACTTGCTCCTGCTTTTAAAAACTGATGCTTCTTTTTTTACTGTGCTATATAAATAAACATTTCATATAAAGTATGTTTTTACATTAGTAATTTATTTTACAAAACGTTTGGTAATAAATGATGAAACAAAATATCTAAGGAGTCACTTGGGAGCCGAAAAAGCCGCTCCACAATATCTCTCTAAAAACAGCTGGAATTCACATCACTATTATAACAAAATTAAAGTGAAAACATTAATTTGCCTCAGCTTTAATACAAACTCTACAAAACTGAAAACCTTTAGAACTGACCTGCTTTCAGTTGTAACCTAAATACCTCGGAAAATGAGTCAGTTTTAATGAGTAGCTTTAGACAAAGACATAAATAAACGTACTGAGTCTGTGTGCAGCAGCTGCCTGGGGTTTCCTCTTCACGTGAACAAAGAACACAGCACGTGAAATAAAACCAGAAACTATTGGTATCTAAAGAATTTACTGGTAAGGAGGTTTTTATGTTCTTTGTTTGTGGTTTCACTTAATGATGCTTAATGAAATGTTTGTCTTTTTCTACATGACAACAGTGACCTGACTTGACTAACAAACCTCATTCTTGGAATCCCAGATGAAGACTGGTTCATTAAGAAGGTCACTGTTCCCAAATAAAAACAGGTCACAATTTAAAACAATTGTCACCGAGGAGCTTTTTAATGACCTCGGTGACCTCAGCACCAGAGATTCATTATTAACATTAACAAACTGAAATATATCAGTTAAATAAGACTCAAACCATTTTAGAGTTGTACCTGTACTCCCAATATCATGTTCAAGTCTACGTAATAAAATATTGTGATCAATTATCAAATGCAGCGCTGAGATCTAACAGGACAAAAATGGACACGAGTCCACTGTCTGAGGCCATGAGAATATCATCAGTAACTTTAACCAGTGCTGTACATACAGTATATACATATATATAAAATTTCATGTCATTAGCACCTCTAGTAATATATTTACTGAGAAAAATGATGATGTGTTCAATATTTATTTTACCCGCTGTGTGTGTGTGTGTGTGTGTGTGTGTGTGTGTGTGTGTGTGTGTGTGTGTGTGTGTGTGTGTGTGT